CTTATTTTCAAAGGTATCTTACCTTATTTTTAAATTTAATTTTATTTTTGAGGCAAGGCCTCATGTAGCCCAGACTGACCTCAAATCCTTGACCTGGAACTTAAAGAGCATCATTTATTTTATGTGTGGGTCCTTTGTCTTCATGCATACCTGTGTGCCACAGGGCTGGTGCCTGCAGAGGCTAGAAGTGGGGGGGATCCCCTGGAACAGGAGTTCCAGACCCTTCTGGGCTGCCACGTGGGTGCTGGAAATTCAACCTGAATCCTCTGGAAGAGTAGCCAGCATTCTGAACTGCTGAGCCATCTCTCCAGCACTTTGATTACCCTGAGGGGTATAGATCTTAGAAAGTTAATGTGAGCTTTTGATTTGTATATAGTGAGAGACTCCAGACTGATGTGGTATCTCATGCCCATCATCCTAGCACTTAGGAGACTAAGGCAGGAGGATTGTCATGAGTTACAGGTCAGCCTGGGCTACAAAGTGAGACCCTATAACAAGATCAAAAACAGAAGGAAGGGAGGTAAAGGGAAGGAGGAGAGGAAGGGGAGGAGGGGGAAGGGGAAGAGAGAGGATAGGAAGGTAAGGGGAAGGAGGAGAAGGGGAAGAGGGGAGGAGACGGGGAGGAGTCCTTTAAGCAGGCTGTTGTAGCCTCTTGGAACATTCATGTCCACATGTCACACACAGATCTTGGTGAAAGGCAAATTCTCAGAAGGAACATACTGTGCTTTTTGTTGTGAGAGCCTGTATGTTGGTATTTGAATCCAGGCTCTTGAACATGCTAAGCAAATGCTGTACCACATTTTTAACACACACACACACACACACACACATACACACACACACACACACCTCCTTCTACTGATGCTGCTGGCTGAGAACCACACTTTAAGTAGCAAGGGTCTGATCGGTCTGGTCCCTGAACTCTGTCAATCCTGACAGGGGTGGAACTAGGGTAACAGGAGAGGGTGCTGCTTGATCAAAAGCAACAATCTCCTAACGGTGAAATCTCAGGCAGAGAGCACAGTGCTTGGGCGTGGGGGCTGCCCATCCTCTCCTGGGCTATGTGTGTGAGCTCTTGGAGCTCCACTTAGAACAAAACCCAGCCACAATACTATGGTTTGTGAGGTTCTGGGAAGAGCAATACAAGGGGGATTACCTGATGTTCAAATCAACATCGCTGGTAAGATACACGGAAATTTAATGTGAAACTTGACCTTGAGCTAGCAGTGGTCCAGTCCGTGAGCAATTTTCTCAAAATCCCAATTCTCAAACATTGAGATTCATTACCATGCACCTGTTCAGCCACTGGCGGCAGTCACTGTATACCAGCTATGCGCCAGACATTGCTCAAGAGATGGGAGGGAGGGACAGCTATGGAAACCAAGACCATGATCCCAATGAGTGTAAATAATGGTCACAGATAAATGCTCACTGGTTACGCAGTAGGTGATAAGCTCTATGGATGCAGAAAAACTTGGGAGTTGGGAGTGTGTCCTAGTGGTCCATTAGAGAAGGTGACAGGTGGTAGATGATACTCAGTCCAAAACAGCCTTGTAAACCCTTAGTTTCCCTTGAAGGCAATGGAGAACCTTTCAGGAGGTGGAGCAGGAGTGACCCGGGATCTAGAGGATCTTCTGGGTGCTGTGTGGGGGGTTAGCAGGAACTCCTTAAGGTGCATGGGCCCTATTTCCAGAGTCCGTCTGTCTGGCAGCTCAGGTGGACCTGGGATTCTGCTTCTTTTTTTTTTTTTTTTGGTTTTTTGAGACAGGGTTTCTCTGTGGCTTTGGAGGCTGTCCTGGAACTCGCTTGGTAGTCCAGGCTGGTCTTGAACTCACAGAGATCCGCCTGCCTCTGCCTCCCGAGTGCTGGGATTAAAGGCGTGCACCACCAACGCCTGGCAGGGATTCTGCTTCTTAGAAAGCTCACATGTGATTCTTTTTAGTCGTTTATCAAGACAGGGTTTCTCTGTGTAGCCCTGGCTGTCCTGGGACTCACTCTGTAGACCAGGCTGCCTCAACTCAGAGATCTGCCTGCCTCTGCCTTTCAAGTGCTGGGATTCAAGGCATGTGCCACCACCACCCAGCTGCCCCCATGTGCTTCTTAGACCCAGTCCTGAGATCTGATACCACCCTTTGCACAACCCCTGAGCTCACTGTGCCCTCAGTGGAAGGAGTCAGATACAGCAACTGCACTATGAATGCCCTCTGTGAACTGGGCAGTGAGAAAGGCCCTTGGGACTTATCCTGAAAAGTGTCAGCTTAGGTGGTCGCCATTGCCAGGAGATAGGGAGCATAGATGCTTGTGATGGAAGGAATCTAGTTTTGCTCTTGGGCAATAGCAGGAGCTCCAGCTGGCTGTCAAGGCCTCCGCCGACTCATCAGGCAGCCTCTTTAGATGAGCAGCTCAGACAAGTGTTAATAGTGGCATTTTGTTCTTTGGGACATGGTTCTGATGCTGTAAGCCCAGGCTGGGATCCACATCACAATTCCCCTGCCTCAGCCTCCCAGGTGCTGGGTTCACAGCTTTGTAGGCTTCTGAACCACCAAAAAGGTTCCCCACCAGCCTCCAGATGTGTCCAGTGGATTTATGTCCTTGCAGCCCTTTGTGGCAACAAGAGGCTATGTTCTTGTCTGGACCCCGAGGGCTTTGCTCACAGTGGTGGGCAGTAAGTAGCTGTGAGAGGCAGTTTCAGGGCATGGCAGGTGGTAACCCTGATGTACCCCCCGTGTTGTGTGAGCTGGTCTGCTGACTGGATGGGGAGGCAAAGGCTTGGAGAAGCCATTTTCCAGAATCATGCCATCTGGAGAAAGCCATTGGTCACTTCCATGCAAGCAGGCCTCCTATGAAGCTCAGGCTCAACTGAAGACCCTGGACATGCAGAAGCTAAACAGGCCATCCTAAAGACCTGAATCTGATGCTTCCTGGTCCTGTGCTCACCCCTCCAGCCACGCCTGCTGGTAGGGAGTGATGCTGCTACAGCAAACAAGGACATACAAGTCCCTTGGGGGCTGGAGAGAGGGCTCGGTGGGTAAGAGCACCTGTTGCTCTGGAAGAGGACTCAGGTACAGTCCCAAGCACCCACCTAATGGACCACAACCACCCGTGACTCCAGGGGATTTGATGCCCTCTCCCGTATTAGGCACACATACATTCAGCCAAAAACACTCATACACTAAAAAAAAATTTAAATGTAAAACAAGTTCCCTTTGGGGACAAGTGGACACTAGGAACTCATGAGCACTGGCAGCCTGTGTCTCCTCCTGACTGTTTGAGAACTCTCCCCACTCAAACCTACCTTTGATCCTAGACCTGCCCTTTCTGGCCATGGTCCCCTCTCCCAGGATTTGACTGGCTTTTTGAGAAGGAACAAACACATTTCAGACACACAGAAGTTTCAAAGCACGATTCTAGGGGTCCAACATGATCTGTTGGGGAAAAAAAACACCAGGTCACACCCTCTGGTCTCACACTGCCATATCCATGAACTCTGCTAATCTGTCATCTTCAATACAACGTTCCAGTCCAGGAACCTCCTGCCCAGGAAATAAGAACTTTCACTTAATGGAGGGGTCTAGTTGTATTAACAGTATCAACAATCCCAAGACTCTGAGCCCTCCTTTGTCCCCAAATGCTTTTTTTTTTTTTTTTTGAGAGGAGTTTCTCTGTGTAGCCCTGGCTGTCCTGGAACTCATTCTGTAGACCAGTCTGGCCTCAAACTTGGAGATCCGCCTACCTCTGCCTCCGCTACCCTGTGCATGTCCACTCCATCCACCTTATACTTCACTGTAATCACCCTGTCTTGACCAAGGCTTCCTATCTGCATGAAAAACTAGGTCTCAGCCTCCTCCCTACAGGAAGAATAAGTGAGGATCTGTCAGCTCATGGTCAATGACTGAAGTCCTGAAAGCTGGAATTTGACAGGAAAAGTTTGATTTGCAGGGGACATTGAATAGCAGAACCCTTAGAACCCAAGCAATGTGGACTGTGTGATTCCAGAAAGTTCCTCGGGAATTCCTAGCATGGCCCATTCATTTTGCAGGTAGTAACCAAGGCTTGGAGAGAGGCAGAGATTTCTGGAAATCACAGGACTGCTAAGATAGCACCAAGGGATAAACACGTTAACAACCATAATGTGCCTGGTACCTGCTGGGTGCTCTGTGTCTATTCAATAAAAGCCGTAGTGCATTTGGTTTTACAATTCCAATTGAAGTTGGACAATCCAACTTAAAAAAACAACAACAAAAAACAAAAAACAAAACACGTCTGAACCCAGAACAGCAGTTCTCTAGCTGGAACGTCAAAGCTGTCAAAGCCATCAAAGCCATCTGGAGGGTTTGTTTGGACAGCACCAGCCAAACCCGAGTCTCTGAAGTTGCACCTGGGGTGAGCAGAGTTACTGCACTTTTAACCAGTATCCAAAAGTCTTCTCAGAGAACGGGGTGGGGGGTAACAAAAGGTGTAATGTCTGCCACTAGTGACATGAGTTGACCATCCTTCCCAAGACAGTCTTCTCCAGGCCCACATCCATCCACTGCTCTGCAGAGCATGCTGCAGGCTGTACATTTTGTGGGCTTGCCCCAGTACAGCCTTTGCTTTTCATTTTTGTGTACACTGACATTTTACCTGAATGTCTGTATGAGGGTGTTGAATCCTGGAGTTACAGATAGTCGTGAGCTGCCCTGTGGGTGCTGGGAATTGAATCCCGGTCCTCTGGAAGAGCAGAGTCATTTCTCCAGTCCCGAATCTCCCCCGATCCCCCCTTTTGAGACAGCGTTTCTCTGTGTGACCCAGGTTGGCCTTGAACTCACAGAGATCTGCCTGCCTCTACCTCCTGGGTGCTGGGATTAAAAGCATGCAACCAACACCACCAGGGTCTAGTATAGCTTCCTTTACCTTGTAGTTTTGAGAATTCCTCCCCTGTGGGAGATGTAAATAATGTTCATCTTCCCACTGTACGATCCCAATGACAAACCAAAGTATGATTCTATCAATGTCAAACCTGGGGAAGCAATGAGTTTATTGTGTTTCTTTACAGAGCATGGGTGAGGAGTTGCTTATAGGTGTGTGGGTGATTCTCCCCCCAAAAAAAGCCTCACTGGAAAGTCTTCACCCAGCGTAGATAACTTCCTTGTAGCCATATAGATGGAATCTCTCAGTTAACATTCCCTAACCTATAGACTGGCATACAAATCGCTGGGAGAGTGGCTGGCATCTCAGATTTTGGGTCTAATGATCTTCTTTACCAACTCCTTCTCTGAGGACGCCCACAGTCCACAGCTCATTCCCGATGGACTTGGGCAGGCATGCCCAGCTCATCTAATGACTGTAGCAGCTGTTGCATAGAGGACCAAACTGTAACTCAAGCCTTCCACCAGAGAGGCAGTCTCCCTTCAAAGGTGGGCAGGTGACATCCGTTCTCTGATTCCCAGAGTGTGTGCTGGGAGAATAAATCAAATACTACTTATACACACTGGGAAAGAAAAAAAAAAAGAAACTAAAAACCAAACACTACCCAGGCAGATAAGACTAACACATCCATCCTCTATTACAGACTGAAGCAAAGGGCTTCCTTCCACTGGTAGCCTGGACCTGGAGGTTTCTGACTGCCCAAGCTTGTCTGTCTAGGCAGCATAGAGAATGACTTCCAGGAGCAACCCCAACTGCCATGCAGGGATGCCCCAGAGAGGTGAGGTGGGGTGACAGGACATACCTAGCCACCATCTGGTGATCACTACAGTAGTCATTCCAGTGAAGCCAAGACTGAGAAATGATCTAAGATGCTAGTGTCTCCCAGTGCTGTTAGTGGGGGCTGAGCATATACTCAGATCCATGGAAGAGTGTGTGTGTGTGTGTGTGTGTGTGTGTATCAGGGCATGACATTCACTCTGCACTGTGAGGACATGCCCAAGTCACCCAGGCCCTTGACTGGTTCTCACCATGACACTACTGAAGGGACCAGCTCTGGTGCTTGTTAAGTCACAGTTCTGACTCAGAACACCAGTGGGAGGCCTGGAAACCTGCATTTTAGTTTCCCCTTTACTGAGACAGGGTCTGACATAGCCTGGAGACTCTTTTTATTCTAGGTTGAGGTTGGTCTAGAACTCCTGACACTTCTGCTTCTACTATCTGAGGGCTGGGATTCTAAGAGGGCATCACCACGCCAGACACTCCTTTCTTCTGTCTGCCTGCTGTTGTCAAGTTGAGATAGACTCCCATTATGCAACACAGGCTGGCCTCAGACCTACAATCCTACAGTCTCAGCTTTCCAAGGACGGGAATGACAGGTGGACAACACCAGAGGCTGCGTTTTCAGCATATTCAAGTTAGCCTGTCCATACTTGGAACTGCTGAGCTCCAACCATGAGATCCTTCTACATTCCAAGAACCAGGAGCACTGTGAGAGTTCAGGGACCCAGACAAACTCCATGACAGGTTTCTGCTTGGAGTAGTAGTGTTAGTTCTAAACTGCAGAATCTTGGAGACAAAGTGGCAAAGCCCTACCTGTGTCCTGGTACCTACACAGCCTTCACGGACCTACACAAAGGTGTTGACCAGCCAGAGTCTGGGCAGCTGATAGCTCTGCTTGCTCAGGTAAGGAGGTAGACACATGGAGATTGAGGGGACCAGGGATGCCCCCAAGTATAGGCCTTACCAGAGGTGAGAGCCCAGCCAACTCCTGGGAAATTCCACAGTTCTGAGCGCACTGGGACAGCTCGACACCCTACTCTCTGGCTACCTCCTAGGCCACAGGAAAAGGTCCTAGAGATGGCAGGTCATTGGTGATTATGGTGATAGCCTTGAGGGTGGTGGTCCTGGGCCAGGACACGGCAACCAGGCTGCTATCAGAGGGAGGCCACGATGAAGGAGGTCACTGAAGGACCTTGGGTCAAGGTCACAAGTGCAGACAGTTTTGTCTTCTCTGGGTCACCGCTCCTGTGGCCCTGGGGATGATGCCTGGCCATACCGGGCTATCATCAGGGAGGGACAGAGCAGAGTGCATAGAACTTCTTCCCCTTGTCTTGCACAAGACAGGATGAGCTGCCCGGAGCTGCCCTCTGTACCCAGGCCTTCATAAACACTCCTGCTTACAGGAACCAACCACAGGACCTAGGCATCTGAACTCTTAGTTCAGGCTCTGACCAGTCCAGGCACTCTGCTGGCCAGTCTTTCGAAGGAGGACTATGTTCAGTCTTCAGAAGATGACAAATAGTCAGAGGTGGTCTCTTCTCAGGATGGTGACTGGCTTCAGATCATAAGGTTCATAAAATGCCCATCAAAGACTCATCCATGAGCTTAGAAGGCGTCTGACGACGTGGAGGCAGAATGGCAGATGAGTCCCAAGCAGGAAAGGCTCTCCACTTCCTTTCCTCCTCCCAAGCTACGAAGAAACCTACCTACATCAGCACGGCAGTGTTGAGTGTCCTGAGCCAGGCTCGACCCTCACCTAGCTTCTCCCTCTGGAGCACCAGGGCTCACTCTAGCGCTAAGCTACCTATCTTGGCTTAGCTGCGCCCCTCCCACTTTATCCTGTGTGGCCCCCCCATCCCACTCCCGAAGCTTGGCCTTCCACAGCCTGTCCTCCCCTCAGGTTGGCAGGCCAGTAGCTTTTGTCCCTTGCTGGGTGAGCACAGGGAGTGCGTCCTAAGGCGGAGGGGCCTGTGCATCATCCTCTGGAGACATGAGCATATCAAACTTGATGAGTGGCGGGGCGATGACGCGCACCTCGGGGCTCAGTGGGTTGAGGCGCAGGTTGATGAGCCGCAGAGCTGGCATGGTGGCCAGCTTCTCCACAGGCACATCTGTTGGGGAGAGAGGGGACAGGTTAGAGGGGTGTGACAAGCAGGCCGGCATAGATGACGGAGCAGGAAGACAGGAGCACAGGGAGCCGCAGGGGTTCCCATCCCTGAGGGAGGGGTCATCGGGGGCTCACCAGGACACGGAAGCCACATGTGGGACAGCAGCTTTGTAAGTGAGGACTTAGGCTGGGCATGGAGGCCATGCCTGTAATCCCAGCACTTGGGAAGCAGTGGCTAGAGAGTCGCTCTACTACATAGTGAGTCTGAAGGTGGCCCTGGGCTACCATTTGTTAGTTATTGTGGGGGAATTAGATTAGGCATCTCAAAAATAGAATTATCATATAGACCACAATTTTATTCCTACACAGACTCAAAAGAATTAAAGACAGGCACTCAAATCCTGTTACATAGAGAGAACAGGAGAGTTATTCACAATAGCCTGATATCCACCAACAGGTAAAGAAACAAGAGTATGTATGTGAGCACAATGGAATAGCATTCAGCCGTAAAAAGGAGAAAAACTCGGACACATGCTTCCTCCTTGGGAGGAGGAAGTTCTATGGACTCTGCTCTGTCCCTCCTGAGGAAGGCAGGCACAGCAACTCCACTTGGCATCTAGAATAAAGTTCACAGAGACTGTAGACAGCTTCTCCCTGAAGCTGGAAGAAGAGGTCAGGGTGAGTTAGCCAACTTGGAAACGGATGGTGGTGATGGCTGCACAGTATTATAAAAGCAGTTGCCGGGCGTTGGTGGCGCACGTCTTTAATCCCTGCACTCGGGAGGCAGAGGCAGGTGGATCTCTGTGAGTTCGAGACCAAGCCTGGCCTATCGAGCGAGTTCCAGGACAGGCTCCAAAACAATACAGAAACCCTGTCTTGAAAAACAAAACAAACAAACAAACAAAAAAAGCAGTCAATGCCACCCAGAGGTACCACACTGAAAATGGTTTAACTGGCAAAATTTCATGTCATTTACAGTGTTGCAATTTTTTACATTTATGTGTGAGTACATATTTATGTGGGTGTGTGAGTGCAACTGAGCATGTGTGGAGGTTGGAGGACAAGCTTCCCAAGTTGGTCTCTCCTTTCGCTGTGTGGGTCTCTGAGACTGTATTCAGGTGGCCAGGCTTGGGCAGTGAGTACCTTCACCCGCAGAGCCATCTTACTGGTGCCTGAACTACAATGTTTTACATTAGTAACACACCATGCAGAAGCGCACTGAACTACAATGTCTTACATTAGTAACACACCATGCAGAAGCGCACTGAACTACAATGTTTTACATGAGTAACACACCATGCAGAAGTGCACTGAACTACAATGTTTTACATTAGTAACACACCATGCTGAAGCGCACTGAACTACAATGTCTTACATTAGTAACACACCATGCAGAAGCGCACTGAACTACAATGTCTCACAATAGTAACACACCATGCTGAAGCGCACTGAACTACAATGTCTTACATTAGTAACACACCATGCAGAAGCGCACTGAACTACAATGTTTTACATTAGTAACACACCATGCTGAAGCGCACTGAACTACAATGTCTTACATTAGTAACACACCATGCAGAAGCGCACTGAACTACAATGTTTTACATTAGTAACACACCATGCTGAAGCGCACTGAACTACAATGTCTTACATTAGTAACACACCATGCAGAAGCGCACTGAACTACAATGTCTCACAATAGTAACACACCATGCTGAAGCGCACTGAACTACAATGTCTCACAATAGTAACACACCATGCTGAAGCGCACTGAACTACAATGTCTTACATTAGTAACACACCATGCAGAAGCGCACTGAACTACAATGTCTTACATTAGTAACACACCATGCTGAAGCGCACTGAACTACAATGTTTTACATTAGTAACACACCATGCAGAAGCGCACTGAACTACAATGTCTCACAATAGTAACACACCATGCTGAAGCGCACTGAACTACAATGTCTTACATTAGTAACACACCATGCTGAAGCGCACTGAACTACAATGTCTTACATTAGTAACACACCATGCAGAAGCGCACTGAACTACAATGTCTCACAATAGTAACACACCATGCTGAAGCGCACTGAACTACAATGTTTTACATTAGCAACACACATGCTGAAGCGCACTGAACTGTGCGCTTTCGATGTAGGGACTGAGCGGCATGTGATATATCCCAGTGTAGTGATGAGGGGGAAAAAGCCTGTGTAGAGGCTGGGGATGGAGGGCAGCTGGTAGAGTGTTTGCCTTGCTTGCATGAAGCCAGGGGTTCAATCCCCAGAAATGGATCAACCAGGTGTGGTGACACCCATCTATAATCCTGGCACTTGGGAGGTAGCTGCAGGAGAATCAGAACATCCGAGACGTCTTCAGCTACATTGGGAGTTTGAGGCTAGCCTGGGCTACACATGAGACTTTGCCTCAAAAAAGGCAGCGAGGGATGGATGGCAAGATGACTCAGCAGGTAAAGACATTTGCTGCAAGTCCAAGGATCTGATTCCATCCCAGGGACCACCACACTCCTGTAAACTGTCCTGAACTCCATGTGCAAAACAAAGAAAGAATCTAGTAAAAAAAGACCAAAATGAATGTGTATGTGACCTGATGGATGAGGCTGCATCGGGTGACACGTGCAATTCTCATTAATGGTGGCAGCACCATTCTCTGTCCCATCACCTGGTCCACTGTGCCTCTGAGGACTCCCTAAGACAGGGCTACACATATGCATTGGGCTCCCTTCCAGCCACCTGTAGACCAGTACCGCTGAGAACCTAGACAGATCAAGAGCCCTTCACCGCTACACTGGCTCAAGGTTTGGCATCAAGACTCCCACATCATGTCCCCAGTCATATGCCTATAGGAGTGCCCTGGATAGTCAAGCAGAGGCTAGGTGTCCTCAGGAGTCAGGGCAAATCTCTCCTGTCATAGCTCTGGGTCCCAAATGCTAATATGTAGAACATGGAAATCAAGTTTCAAATTCTCACCCATTCAATTTATCCAAAGATAACAGGACTGTTCTCAAAACACACCCAAGGCACTTTGTCAAAAATATAGGTAGTGATGACCTGATTTAAGTTCCAGTACACAGTCAGAAATGAGGTGGCAGATGATAGGGCGCATCCTTGCAACCCGAGGACCTGAGTTCAATCCCTGGGGCCCACATGGTGGAAGACCAGAGCTGGTATTCACAAATTCTCACCTCCATAAGCACACTATGTATGGTTTATACTCCCTATAACAATAAACAAACATGCCCCAAAAATAATACTGGATGTGGTGGTGAGTTCTTTAATCCCAGCACTGGGGAGGCAGAGGCAGGCGTATCTCTGTAAATTTGAGGCCAGTCTGGTCTACAAAATGAGTTCCAGGACAGCCAGGACTACATAGAGACCCTGTCTTAAAAACAAAAAAAATAAATAAACAAACACAAAAAATATAAACAAACAGACCAAACAAAACGAAAAGCTTGGCAGCAGCAAGCCCGAAGACAACAGGCCAGCTTTCCTCCACAATAATTTCTAGTCCTGCTCCGTGCGTCATTCCGTGGGAACACAGATCCTCAGTTGCAAGCCTGCACAGGTGTGCGCCTGCCAGGCGCATAGTCATCTTGAAGGCTGTTGTGATCACTCTGTCAGTGTGGTGCTAGATTCTTCCACCATATAATTACTGCTGTTTTCATTTTTCTCTCATTTGCAAATAACAAGAACTCTGTGGGGACACTCTTTAAGAGCAGGCTGGCAGAGTCTCCTCATCAGCATCTCTCACCCATTGCCACGGCCTTGATGTCCACGGACAGTCCGTTCCGAATCCACCTTGGTGATGGCTATAGACCGTGGCCTGCCACTGCTCAGCACTGCCCTTCTTGGCTGCCCATCTGTTTATCAACAGGGATTTCTATGCTTCTGCTGATCCCTGACTGTTGTGTTTAATTAATTTGTTGCTCAATTTGTTCCAGATTTGGCCTGTGGGGGCCCCTTCAACCTGGCTCCTGACGGCTCTTGTTTTTGTATTTTGTAGTGCTGGGGACCGAGCATACTAGCAAGTGTTCTGTCTTGCTCTTCCACCCATGGCCCTGGCTGTGTGGGTTGGCAAGCGCCCAACGTTTTGGGTTGTATTAAAGCATGTTGTGGGATCCACTTACAAGGCTCTGCACATACATAATCACCTGCTTTGAACTGCAGCCAAGTGTGCCGTGCGTGCAAGCGGTTCCTCGCTGCACCTCCCCCTGTACTCCGCCAGTGACGGACACGTAGGCTGCACCATCTGCCCCTAAAGGCTGGTCTGAGGATGCCTTCGGCTGCCTGCCAGGAGCAGAGACAATGGCTCCATCCAAGGATGTGTATGCAGTTGCCTCTGATGGTTCCTGGACCCTAGCTCTGGTCAGCCTGCCTCCCCAAGATGTTCAACTGAGGCTGTCTCCATATCCGTGGCAGAGACACACCCCAGGCCTTCAGCAAGGTCCCTTGTTCTCCCTCCTGACACATACCTTGAGTCCTTTGAGGATGGTGGATAGCGAAGACTCCCGAAGCACAGACAACTGCCCTCTCCTGTATGCGTGATTGCTAGGATGAAATGGAGAGGCTACCGGCTCTGGCCAGTCGTTCCCTGCGCATGTACCAGAGCTTACAAAACTGAGGAAGTCAGGGCAACTCAGGGGTTCTTCTGCCCACTTCACAGATGAGGAGCCTGAGGTCAGAAAGGCTGAGCTCAAGGACATTTGGTTACTGAGAAGCACAGCAGGGGCCAGGTATGGGGCTGCCTGCTCCAAAGCATCTTCTAAAAGGGGCAGGCTACTGTAAGCATGGGGGTGGCAGAAAGTGACCCAGAGGCCCCATGTCTGAAGAGGTAGGTGGTTCCATGCCTATGGGGCTTCCCAGAGGCCTCTTTGCACCAAAGCCCAGCACAAACATTACAAAGTGGAACTCTGCAGTGTCCCAGGCCTCCAGATCCTCTGTGCTGGGTCATTTTACTGTTGATAGCATTTTCCGTAGTTAT